CTGAGTATGTAATGCCGAGCGTGCCCTTGCCCTGCATGGCTGGGTGGAAGCAGACAGATGAACAAAGAACAGGCCAGGGTTGCCCTGGTCAGAGCGGGGTGATCGCTGGTGCACACAGTAGAGATTCCATTCTGTCTAGAAGCAGAGGACAGACTTGGAGAAGCACAACTGCTTTAGATCAAGTGACAGCACATCTGAGACCTAGGAAGAGCATCATGATGGATGGGCCATGATGGTGATCATAAGGGGAGGAGAAGTTCAAGAAAGCAGGCAGGACACCACAGACGACTGGTGGTAGTCAGCAAGGCCAAAACCACCACTCTGCAGTTTGGAGAGAAGGGTTGGGCACGTGGGAGAGGTTCGGGCAGATCAGGACACAGCCAGCGCTCAAGGACAGTATTTGACACTGGGGTCAAAAACCAGGACAATTCCAGTTACCAGACCTGAGTTTTGTATCCAGAACAGATGAGGAGAAATGTAGCTTGCCACTGAGGAAGAGGGACTAACAAGCCTTGGATACCACCTAGGCAGGTTGGAACCTATCCTGACAGCTGTGACCTGCCCTGGGGACCTGCTGTATGCACATGAGGCATCACAAGCTGTGGTGACATCATATCTTCCTAATAATCTTTCAAAATCCCATCACGTGTGGGTGATCTTTTCGTGCACAAAAATGAATAGAAGCAAGGTTAGGGCTACAATGCATCCCTTTCCCATTCTGACTTGCTCTCTCGAGTAGGAGAGTAAAGGATACAAATGCAGCCAGCATCTTTGCATAACCCAAGGGATGCTGAGTGAGTTGGCCATGCATGTCAATATCAGGTATTGAAGATAGGCAGAAAATTATCTCTGAAGCAAAAGGAAGTTGGTCTAGGGGTGAATGGGGATAAGGCAAAGAACAATGGTGTGTTATTGGAAGCCCTTCTATGTTCATAAATTTTACTATTTTGTGTTCTATATACATGTATTATAAACCTGAAAAAATTATTAAATTTGACCATCAGGTTTTAAGCCTCATACTAAATTAAAAGTAAGGTAAGGGAGAAGACCTAGAAACAGTGTGGTAACAAACAATTACAGCCAGAAAATCAAGGCAGTCTAACTGGCAGATATAAGAATTAAAAAAAGAAAAATAGTAGGAGCCAGGGAACATTTAATGCGGTCATAAAGAGGTTCAAACAACTCTCAGAAATCATTATAATGCAACGAGTGTTACACTTTATGAGACTAATGGTGATGTTGAGACCTCCAGTTACAGTGAGAATACCACCATCACATCGTATTTAAGGAGGCAGGGAGCCAAACAATATATTTTAGCAATATTCTTATCAAGAGGAGCCAAAATTTCAAGCGAAAGAGGCATCATTCCTATGTGATTCTCTTGTGTGCCTTTCCTCCATAGCACTTAAAACAGGAGAGTTTTTCATTTTATTTTCTTTTATCTTATTTTATTTTAGTTAAAAGGGGAAAAGTGTATTTAGCTCACAGTATATAGTCCATAATCAGCTGGCTCCAAGGCAGGGTGGTGCATGTCAGAGGGGCAACAGTTCATGGCAGTGGAAGAGAGCAAAAGCAACCAGGGCAAGAGACAGAGAGCTTTTCATTTTATTCTCATTAAATTTCCCAAACTGAATGTGAGTGAGGGCTGGGACGACGCCTGTTCTGCTCAACTTCCTTGCTCCAGGGGGCAAGTGACTCTCACAGGGGTTCTCTTTCTTCCCACTTCTTGCAATGTCCGTACTGCACCGGGCCACGGAGGAATTGCCAGACTGGAGGAGAGTAGATCCTAAGCTCGGGGGAAATGGGCTGAGGGAGGCGGTACAGACTTGTTCCCAGCCAGGCCTCCAAACGCTAAAGAATTTAATCCCCTGCCATCATTCCTCTGTTCCATCCGGTTGCCAAAGTAATTGGAATTAGAAATGCCTGCTTTGATTGCTGCTGGGGAAAGAAGCTTAAATTTTAGTGGGAAACCTCAGTCCTGCCTCAAACTTTAATTGCTGGGTTTCTTATGGAATGTGATGTCTGTTCCCTCCAATTTTCTAGACAGAGAACTAGAAAACTGGCCGTGAGCAAGTGTAGCAGTAGGAGCTTCAGGACCATCGGTTGAGTTCATAGGCTAGTTGGGTGCCCAGTAGCTCTTGGGAGGGCAGCAGATCTGAGCTACTTTAGCAATAAAGGCTGCACAGCAGGTGCCAGCATCTTCCATGGAGCTCAAATCCATTAAACAGATACGAGGGTGACCCATGAGTGAGCGTGGTGGCTCTGGCCACCTGCACCCCATGGTCACTGCCTGGCCTGGGAAGACTGAGGCTTAGCTGTCTTCCACTACCACCCTTCCTCCTCTCCTTTCCCTCTCACCTCCTCATCCCTTCCATTCTCCCTCCTCCCTGTTCTTTTCCTTCCTCTTCTATCCCTTTCTGCTCTCCCTTCTTAAATGAGAGAGTTGGAATAGCTTTTCAACTCTAACAGGGAGCGTCAAAAGTTAGTCCCCTCCAGAGGCCCTTCCCAGTACCTGAAGGCCAAGAGTTCAGCATACAATAAATCAATAGCTATTCATTTTGTCCCTTTGGTTAAATAGATGGGGCTGATGTGCCCAGAGGATGTGAATTTTTTTTAAATCAGAAGTACTTTAAATAAGCAGTGTCTTTATTGTGACTACACCCTATGCGGTTCTGAGTAGCAGCTTTCTAGCCTTGCTCCCCTCTGGGGGCACGGGCCTGGAGGGTGATTGCAGAAGTATCTGAGACAGGCAGACATTAAACACAAGACCCAAATTGTTTAGCAAAGGTGGTCTTCACAAGAGGGGCTCTGCTGTTGCTTGAGCCAGGCATCAGGCACCCCACGTCCCTCCTCCAGCCCATCCCCAGTGAGAGGCGCAGTCTGGGAGGAGAGGAAGATCAAGCTTCAGGGTCCCTCACTTCCTCTGCCCCTTCCAGGGCCCTGGGAAGAGCCCCAGCGCTGTGTTCCCAGGATCCTATGTTTTTGTAAGAGCTGCAAAGGAGTATATTTTAAACACAGTTAGGTTTAACTGCTGCTTCTTTCCACTACAGCTTGCCCTCTCTCATATTTCTCCTCTGGTCAAATGGCTGTGGGCATTTTGGAGCTCCAGTTCAGGGGAAGCCAAATTGGGAAATGCGTTAAGTTTGCATTGAATGGAATATATTTATGTGAGCCACAGTCCCTTCTGTGCAGGGATAAGTCACTGTGGCCTTCCAGAGCAGGAAAGGCGTATGGAAATAGTGCACAAAGACTGAATTAAATATGAATGTGTCCTTTGGTGCCTGGCATCAGAAGTCTGTGGGTAGTAGAGGAAAAACACGGTTAGAAATGCACTGAGCCAGAAGCCACTGTGGAAAATTCTTCCAATCATGAGATGTGTAAATTCGGTTTCACTGATGCCCCGTCAAAATAGAAATTGAGAAATATATTTAGCAAGAAACCATGTATACTATAAGTGCACTACGTATTGTTTATGGAAATGGTGTGAAGTGAAATTTATCAAAAATCCTGCAAGTGCAGGACGTTACAGTGCTGTACACAGCAAGCAGGGCCGTGGCTAAAGCAGCTTGCTTTCCGTGCCTCCCGGCTATCAATAATTCTGATCAATCTTGCTAGAGGAAAGGCTGCTTTATCTTTCTGTTATCCCCGATACAAAATCATTATTATATAAAGAGAGTATCACAGTATGTAGGCGAAAATTACAGGGGAAACAGTTATTGTGGCAAGCAGCTAATTAAACACTGTGTGTGTTTTTTTCCTTGATTTTCACATGGCATTATATTTGCTGCTTTTAAAAATATGTAATTTTTGTAATTTATTTTCTTCTTCTAAAGAGTCACTTTCCATCCCAATTTTATAGTAGTATTTTTATACTCATTTCCTTAAAGACAATTTTCAACCCCAAATGTTATAAACCTTGGGCCCTACAACAAGAATCCTCTCTTTGGGAAGCCATGGTGAAATTTGGACAAAGGTTTGATTTCCTCTGCCTCAGGGAGCCCTGCTCCGGTCTGAGCACCCACAGTCTTGGGAGAGTTTGGGCAGTGGGTGCTGTGAGAGTACCAGGTCCCCTCCTGCAGGATCTGTTATCCAGGCCCTGGAGGTCTTTGTCCTGGTGCCTCCCACTCCAGGTTCTCAGGGCCCCTGCTCTTGTAGGAAACTGCTGGGAACTGCTGTTGATGCCCAGTCTCTGCAGCTGTACTGAGACCAGCCATGCAAGTTCTCATTCTGCTAATGTGCCAATTCATCTTAATAGCCAGTTTCACTGGGTTAAGAAACTCCTAAACAAGTGATTGGATGATAGGGCCACTGGACTCAGCAGTGGGTTAATCCACCAATGTTCACAGTTGAATGTGCTGTTAGGAGCTGAGGCCTAGTTGGGGACGGGTCACTGGAGACCAGACTTTAGAGGACACAGATATCACTGGCACTCTTATGCGCTCTGCTTCTTGGCCATGAAGTAAGTAACTTTGCTCCACCATGTCTTCCTCCATAGTGTCTCTGCCTTGGAACCAGCCAACCATGAACTGAACCCTCTGAAATCATGAACAAAAGTAAACTCTTCCTCTTTTAAACTGTGTATGTCAGTTTATACATACATATAAGTATGAAATCATGAACAAAAGTAAACTCTTCCTCTTTTAAACTGTGTATGTCAGTTTATACATACATATGTGTATACATACCAGGAAAGGAAAGGTAACCATTACAGGTTATTGATTCATTTGAGGTTCTTGTGATTCAAAGAAAGCAGGATGGTTTCCAGCCTTATCTGGTTTTTTTTTTTTTTTTTTTTTTTTTTTTTTTTTGGTTTTTTTTTCTCCGGTACCGGGAACCGAACTCATGACCTTGCGGTTGCCAGGCAGGCGCTTTTGCCGCTGAGCTAAATCCCCAGCCCCATCCAGCCTTATCTGTACTCAAGTACGCATCATGTGATCTGATGCACAAGATCAACACATGCCTCCTGCAGTAGAGTATTTACTGATTTTCTCTTTTAACAGAGTTGGTGTGGACCTGGAGGAAAATCTGAAGGAGGAGCCCGCCTCACACCAGGCAAGTCAAACTGGCCAATACACAAAAGATAAAAATATGAGAGGTTCTGTTCTGTGCACAGTCTACAGTCAGGGAGTTCCTTCTAAACAAGGTTTCCTGTGTTGATAAAACAAATCATATGGCAATCAAATACAAGGATTTCAGGGTGTTGATCATGTTTAGCAAATGATTATGCAGAAATAACATCCACTCACAGCCTATATGTGGCAACACGAAGCCTGAGAACTTTACAGTGTAGGATTCAGACCATAGCTGATAAAATGAGACACTCTATGATTTGAATCCCAGCCCAGCAACTTTCTAGGTAAGTGATCCTGGTGAATCTACTCAAAGCATGTCCAACGCATGTTGAACACACAACAAATGAACCTGTTTCTTCTGTATGGCTTCTTATAAATCAGGTCTAGGTGTTCAGAAATATTGAAACAGGCAAGATACCCAAGACTATTTAAGTGATCCATTCCTGACTGAACTGAGCAATGCTTATCTACTGATACTTAAAATTCCTTTCAGAACATTGTTCGAAACATGCTGTTCCTTCAACTAGAGGAAAGCTGTTCTTCAAACAATGGATTTGAACTTGACTTCAAAGTTTTTATGTTGTTTTTATGAGTTGTGCTATCATCATATTTTTATTTGAGGATGTAGATCATCTTTCGGATTTCATATGTTTTCCCCTCTACTGCAGTCCATTTGACATAGGTGGTTGGCATTCCTGGTTAAGGTGCCACTTTCCTGGTTCACATAGGTAGAACAAAGGAAGGAGCAGGGGAGATTAAGTTGGTGATGAACCTGAACTCATGTATTTGATTTTGCTGTGGCATGTCTGCCAAGGCCAGGCACTGCTATTTCCCCCAGACTACATTGCCCAGGAAACAAACCTATCTGCAGGATTGGGCACAGCTGGGCTACCCCTGGCACAAGAAATAGAGCCAGCATAGTGACTGCAGAAAGGAGATCAAATCCCATCTCCTGACCCTGGTAGGCTATAATGAGCAGTAAGTAAGGTCTAGTGATGGTTAATTTTTGTAAAGCATTTTCATCTTGTGTAGATCAAATAATCTATTCTCTTCCCTTTCAGTAAAACTTTTGTCTGAATTTTATCCTCCTCATATATCTTTCTATTTAAAAGAAAAAAAATAAAATTCATCAAAGAAAATTCTTTATCTTCCTCTCACTGCCTAGTATTTTGAAAATTACATATAATTGTTGGTGAAATTTCCTACTAGTCTAAGTCTTTCCCTTTATATTTTAAATAATTTTATTTTACCTCATTCATGGGATACTTTTTAAACAAAGTTATCCTTGTTCACTCAGCAATAACTCTTACATGAATATACTATAGAAATAAAAGGTATTTTGTTGTTGTTGTATTAGAGAAGAAATTAAGGTCTTCATGCCTCAGCCACCTAGAGTGCTAGGATTCCAGGCTTGCACCACCATACCTAGCTCCAAAACAATCACTCTTCACTGATACAATTGCATTATTCATTCATACAACTCACAGTTGGCACCTGCTCATGTCAGACACTCATACAGATATTAGTAGGGTTCAGCAGTTGCCATTCCAAGTCTTCTCCCTTACAGAGCTTCTACTGTAATGGAGGATGCTGATGTGGACAAGGTAAACAACTATATACTCTGTGTTCACAGAAAGATAAGGATAAAGCAGACGCAGGGGCTAGTCAGGGCACATCCTTCTGAGGAAGTGGCATTTAATCAGAGAGTTGAGTGATGCACAGAAGTGAATCAAATGAGACCTGGGCAAAATGGTCCAGGCAGAGGGTACAGCTAAGATGAGGACCCGGGAGTTGAATGTGCCTGAGCAGGTGGAGGGCCGCCATTGATGTGGCTGAGCTGAGTGAGGAAGGTGGGAGAGGTGGACAGGGCTCCCCTCATGGGTGATGGTGGTGAGTCTGATTTTATTCTACAGGCAAAAACCACACTTGACAGTACACATCTTAGAAATAATAGAAGGACGCCTTCTTTAGAATGTTTTCTCTCAACTCCATTCTGTTGACTATTATAATAAGGATAATCTTCATTTTCCTACCCTAATTTTAATTTTTTTTATTTTAAAGAGAATTTCAAAAAAGAACAATAGCAAAATGCCAACAATATAGACAAAAATAAAACAAAGCAAAAACAATAAGAATGATACAGGGTTTCAGAACAAAACGATAGGGATTCACAGTGGTTGTTATATGACATATTTTTATCTGCACCAAAGTTGAGGGAAAGGAAAAAAGAAAGAAAGAAGGAAGGGAAAATTTATATATGTATACAGAAGGATAGCTGGCAGAACTGTACTGCTGATGTCTAGTAGTTTATTGAAAGGAACAGTTAATGATGTATTTATTGATTTATTGATGTATTGATTTAAATTTTTATTTTGACCAATTTTGCATGCTTCTATCTGGCAATCTGCACAACTAATTTGAAGACAACAATATGCAACAGAACAACCATTGCTGAACTGCTATCATCTTGTTTGGTGAAACTCTGCATCATTTATAATGTTTGTGTTTTTATTTTTTATTGTCTTTAATGGTCTGATCAATCTTGCATTCTCACATCTGGTGACCTAATTTTAATTTTAGCACAACGCTCTTTCTCTATGACTTCTCTTAATGTCACCTGCCAGTTTTTCCAGTTTTCTTTTGCTCCCTGTAGTCCCTGTCTTTGGTTGTTCTCTGCACTTGGGTCCACACCCTGTGCAAACCCCTGCCGGTCTAGAGAAGGGCACTTAGAATAAGTGAGCAGGGGGAGCCACTGTGGAGCAACCAGGACAGAGCAGACCAGGATCCTGTCAGAAAGACTGGTGCTGTGAAGGGCACAGGAAATATCTGTGAAAGTGTGAGAGGAGAATAAGGTGAACAAGCACCTTGCCAGCTCCAGGAATCCCAGAATCTGAACTACCTCCAAAACTCGGAAGCCACAAGTAGGGGAAAATAAAAATATTTATTCTTTGGCCCAACTTACACTTTGGGTTTCTTTCACTGCTTTGTTTTCTTTTTTGAGACATCTTACTACGTTGCTCAGACTGGCCACAGACTCACAATCCTCCTGCCTCAGCCTCCCAAACACTGGAATTAGAGGCCTGGGCTCCCACATTCAGCTTCAACGATTGGTGCTCCTTACTCGGGGTCATCTAGAGTTGACTAGTTGAAAATATAAGGAGACCCAGAAAGGGAAGGGATAAGCAGAACATGGGGTCACCTGAGTTATTAAATAAAATGTATTTTTTCATGATTAATATTTTAAAACCTTCCTAATAATTTCATAGAGAATAAAATCATGTATCCTACATACCCATCCCTCAGATTTAACCACTGTCAATGTGTTTTCCATATTTGTCTCACTTGTTTTTCCTATAATGTTGGGGTTCATGTCATAGAATGTACATTCCATACTACACACCCACAAATATCTCAAAAACAGAATCCTAGGCTCAAAAATTGATGTGATCCAGATGAGAGATTTTTAGTGTTATGGTGAGAATAGGTATTTTCATAAAAAGTGAAATGACTATTTCAGAGCAAATGCTTTGGGTTTCCTTTCACTGATCTAATTGTTGTTCTTATTTTTGTCTTTTTTGAGACGGGGTCTTGCTATGCAGTTCAGCCTGGTCTTGAACTCACTTTATAGTTCAAGCTGGTCTCGAACTTGCAACAGTCCTACTGCCTCAGCCTCCCAAGTGCTGGGATTACAGGAGTACACCACCATGCCTGGATTTTTTAATTATTATTGTTTCTTTATGGCTTATACTCCCAAATGTAACCTCCTTCCCACTAATTTCTTAGTGCATAGGAATAAATCCTATATATTTATCTTACTAATAGATTCTACAGTTCCATGCTCTAGAAAGCAGTAATAATAACAAGAGGAGGAAGTAAAGGAAGGTGACAGCTACAACTTAGTGAATATTTTTCATATTCTTCTATATAAGATTAAAATCTTACATAAGAAGTTTTAAAAAGTAACTTTCACAAGACAACAAATCAGTCATGTGTTGAGCCAGGACTAAAAGCCAATGCTGTAGCTGAATTTGGCGATGCACTTCTGTGTTCCTAACACTCTGCAAGGCTGAGGTGGGAGGATCTCAAATTTGAGCCCAGCCTGGGCAACTGTAGTAGACCCTGGCTCAAATTGTCTCAAAATAAAAACTAAAAAAGGGCCTGGGTGTATAGCTCAGTGTGAAGGCCCTGGTTTCAATTCCCAGTATCAAAAAAAAGGCTTTTCTTCTCCTTGTTATCCTCCACATGCAGTCTGTAAACATGATCTCTTTTCTTCCTACTAAGGCAGGTTACCAGTCAATTTCAATAGTAACTTTCCCTGTTACTCCTGGCCAGCCTAATTTCTGAATCCTATTGAGAAAGTCAAGATCATTCTTTTATCAAGAGACTCCAGTGTATTCCACTTCCTCTTCTTTGATTATTTCTATGTGGAATCCTTTCCTTTACCCCTACTTGGTAAGCTAAGGACATAGGTTCCCTGTGCGTGAAGCCTGCTCTTCTACCATGGTACATTCCACACTTCCCTTACAGTGGAATAGGCTGTATTTTCTTCTAGTAGGAGAGGGTCTGACTGCGTTGTTCTCTGTCGTTGCTTCCTCCTCACAGAGGTTGAGCTGCTAGCCAATCTAAAAGTCTTGTTCATGCACCTGCCTAAAGGAAGACCATTCCAGAAGGGACAAGAGTCCTGAGGAAAGAAGATTCCCAGCCTGTTTGACAGTTAGAAAGGATGCCAGCATAGCTAGAGTGAGCCGCACAGAGCACTGTGGGACATAAATCGTCAGAGATATAGACAGAAGCCAGATTCTGTCAGTTATCTACTTCCACATGAACACGACATAACAAGGAAACGCACACAAAATCTTGACTTATCCCACAAGTTTGTGGGTTTAGCTGCTGTAGGTTGGATTTGTTTATGTGTCCATGGTCGGCCCCAGGTTGGCTAGATGACTCTGCTCTCTTGGCTGCATGTGCTAACATGTCCCG